AGAGAAGGAATTAACAGAATAATTTTCATAAATGTAAAAAAGAGTCAATATTTTAGTTGTTGAAATACTACTTATTTAGCTCAGGGTTTTGTGGATTAGTGCATTTGAGTTGGTTTCAGCTGGGCAGATGTGTGAGATCAAGGTAGTTCTATTTAGGAGGAGAAAGTTTTGGGTTGGGGGGGAGCACTTGGTTTATATGATGAAGTGAGCTTGCTTAAGCATAGCTTTTCTATCTTTGTAACTCGCACCACATGATTAGGCAGAACCATGCACACAGTGTGTGTGAAATTCTAATAGAGGCAATTGGACAATTTGCCATTCCTCTGGCTATGAGAGCCACCTGAGACACGTGGTGAAGAAATCTTGCCAGAGCCACCAGTGAATGGAGTGCGTGTAAGATCCCTGCCTAAAGTGAGGCACAGAGGCACCAGAGGCTGAAGCACTGAGACCTGAAGGCTTCCTGGCCAAAAGAACAAGGCAGAGGCCAAGGGAATACAAGGCTGGGCGGCCAAGGACCAGAGTGAGACATGCCTGACAGCATGGCTGAGAAAAAGCAACGTGGGTAAAAGAAGTGTTTCCTTAACTTTTATAATTTATTGGCTTCCCTGGTTAACCCCCATAATTGTGAGTATAATCTGTGAGTTAGTTCTGCACAGCCACTGTAAAGAGCCCAGCAAAGAAGTAAAGAGCTGTGGTAGAAATGGTTGGTGTCAGAATAAAAAAAGTATGGAGTGTGGACCCATGTCCTCTCTCTTTCTTGTGCCAATCCTCCTTGGGCTGGTGTGGAGGTGGTGCCCAGTATAGACAAAAGGGTTTCAAAAAATTCTTGGAATTTTTCCATTATCCGTTAATTCAATTTTTCCACACAAACTTTTAAAAATCTCTTTGCATGTCTTTGACAGTCAAGGACACTAGCTAAGACTTGTTCTCTTAGCATCAGAGAAGGAAGAGTTTCAAGAGATGGAGAGAAGGATGTAAGACCATAAAAGCTCCACTTACACTCCCTCCTATTGTTCAAAACAAGTTACAAGGTGTGCATAGATTTACAGGTTAGAGAAACAGACTTGCTTTAGGAAAAGCTGCAAAGGCATATTGTAAAAGGGGCATGACTTGAGGGTGGGGTAGGGAATTGTGGCTGTTTTTCAAATGGATTGCAGAGAAATCTTTGTGAATTTGTTGCTTATAGAGGGCAAGTTATCTTTAATTTTTTTAAATAATGGATCATAAATGAGTAATTTGTTCAAATATTACAAATTTTTACAAGTATGTCACCAACATAGACTCATGAGGTCAGTTGACAATTTTGGTGGTGATGTATTGCTGAGTTTCCATAGCCTCTGTGACTCCTTGAATCAGCATTTCAGCTGCCTCCCTGCAAGGGGAAATGTCCATTGGGTCTTTTAAATCCTTGATCCGCCCAGACCAACAAAGAAAATCAGAACTGTTTCTTCCCTCTCGGTTTTTCATTGCCATCTTTCAAAGCTGTGCTTTCTTTTTACTTTTATCTGTCTTTTACAACAGGATCAGTGGAGTCAGTTGGCTGGAGGCGTTTTCTGTTCTCGCCTGTCTTACATAATGAAACCTAGATATTTGTCTTAGAATCTTTCCCTCTTATATTGACCAGGCAGAAAATAGAAAAGACTGTTCTGCTTGTTTCTTTGTGTAACAGACCTCATCCTTTTCTCTATACATTTTTATTTTAAAACATACCTAACTTATTATCAGATTTCACATATAATCCTATAGGAATCACAAGAAAATTCTTGTTCTAAAAGATGTTGCTCTGATTCATGCAATCATTTCTAGTTTGCTTATATAATCTTAGACCCAAATGGGTTCATTAGCATTTTCCTCCCGCCATTTTCTCAATTTGTTTTTATCATTCCCCCAACCCTTTTCTTGGTTTTGCTATAGATTCCTCATAATAAAATTTAATATAATAAAACCAATGGCTTCAGGTATGATTTTTGCCATTTTCTGAGTTACCTTTCCTAGACTCTTGTGACTTAAAGTAAATGTTTCCCTTATTGAAATTAAGAGGGATAATTTCTGCAAGGTGTCCAGGAAATAGTAAACATCTCAGTAAAAATTATCTTTTGTTATAAATAGTTGAACGGCGATTATTATTTCTTTAAAGTAAACTGTATTTTTATGTCTATGCATTTAAGTAGCCAGCTAGACAATCTGAGAATGATGGTTAAAATTTGAATATCCTTCCAGTTTTCAATTTTCTGCCACTTGAACTTTATCTTTAGAAATGTCCCAATCCTGGTGCCCCCTCCAAAAAAAAAAAAAAAAGAAAAAGAAATGTCCCAGGAATTGATCATGTGTACACTAAAACCATGCTTCCAATGCTTAAGTCTTACATTTTTGAGGGATGCTAGCAGATCAGATTTATATTTTCATAAACTTAGGTCCATAGAGTTGTTACTCCATAATTACTTCCATATATGTTATCTTATGGTCTGTATTCTCACTTCATAAATTCCGTATCTTTTCTAGACCTCAATCTAAACCTCCCAAAGACGTTTTAGGTCTTAAGTTTTTAATACTATGCCATAATAAATAGGTAATTTATTTAGTGAATTGGCCATATTTAACGTCACTTTGCAGTCCTCTGTATTGGTAATACTTTATTTAGTAACTTATCACTTTGACTTTTTGAAGTCATAATATCAATGTCAGTATGTTTTCCCAAGACGTTTCCTCCCTCAGACTTGCAGAAGTTGGTGTTTTCCCAATTCAGGGTCTTGATGGGTTGGAATCAAGTCGATGGCAGTGAATTTGCTTAGTTTTTTGGGTGAACTTCAAGCCTAAAATCTCTGCCGAGGGCTATGGACACTTCCTTCTTCTGCCCTCTTTCTTTTTTTAAAGGAAACATTAATGGGCAGAGACATAAGCTGTGGTGGGGCTCAATTAAAACTTGAGGAATGGAGAAATTGACTTCATACAGAATCGCCTTCATATTATCTGTCGCTTGTCTCTTCAGCTCTGAATTTTTACTGCGAGATCCTTATGTTCCTGGAACAAACTTTAAAAACGGTTTTGCTTTATATGATCATGATGTAGTTAGTGGCTGGGCATCTGAGTTAAAAGAGCAAGTCAGAGCTATGGGTATGACCTGAGAACAGCATTCACTGGTCACCTGTAGATAGCTCCTCTCGCCCTTCAAGGTTAATTAGGAAACAAAACAAAACAAAACAAAGCAAAACATCCAGTGGGTTTTACCAGCTTTCTTTCTCACTGGTTGGGAAGGATGGGCAGCTGGGGGAGAAAGAAGTGTGGTGGGTGGTGTAGCAATAAAGGAGACAGACGCTCCTGAGAGGGTGGGGTCAGAGGTCCACGGAAGAAAAATTATGAATTTGGTTGGCACAGCATCGCTTCCCCAGACCCACCCACCCACCGTTAGGGCGCCCCGTGCTCCGGAGGCTGACGGCGGGCGGGCGGTGCTTTCGCACAGAGCCCCAGGCTGCAGGGCAAACCCTGCAGACAGCTCGGCCTTCAGTGGGTGCGCTCTGCCGCCCTCCCGCCAGCCTCGCGCTCCGTCACCGCCAACCCGCCA